AAGAAATATTTATTAAATTATATTTATTATTGTTATTTTTTAATCTGACTAGAGAGAGACATGGGGAGGGGGAAAGAGAGAGAAAGTTAGAAAGCAAGATGCCAGGTTGGGACTCAAACCATGGTGGACCATGTGGGAGTCCTCAAACACCAAGCCACCTGCTGGCCCAATCTGTGGCTATCTTTATAGTAGTGCTAATAGTACTTAAGTAGTCAGATTTTGTCCTTATACAGGTGTAACACAACTTGCCTCACATTTTTGTTGTTCCTTTTTGCGATATTGACAAATAGTTGAAATTGACATCTTTTTGAGTTTATATTGCTTTCATTTTTGAGGGTCGGTCCTGAACATTTTTCACATATTTACTGGCCAATTATAATTACTGCTTCAGGAATCATCTATTACATATTGTATATAATAGACAATTACCTATCGTCTCTTACCTCTGGAGTCCTAGTATTTTTTTAAGTGATTTTAGGAGTTCTTCATACAATAAGGTTATTAGCAGTTTATTGATATTTGATTCAGCATTTTTTCCTGTTTGTGGTTTGTATTTTGATTTTTAAAATTATAGTTCATGTTAAGAATATGAACATACTAATTAATGAAATACTATAAAATTATTGGTAATGATTTATGATACCATTTTTTAGTATTATAAAAATATTGTCTCTGGGTTTCTCCTTTCTCTTAGCATAATTGCACTTACTGAGGTCCATTAGTGTCAGGGACTGTCCTCAGCACTAAGCACACACTAGTGAGTCCTGGACCCTGCCCTGTCCCAAATGTCAGTCTAGAAAGAGCAACAGTTATGAAACGATAGTGCTAGTAACAGCGATGCTAGCTTGGAAAGGAGGTGGATTGATCAGTTGAATGTAAAAACTTTTTTAAATGAATGACTTTCGTTGATCCTTTCTCTCTCCTCCAGGACTCATGCTTTTCTCAGATTCAGCTCAGAGAGAGAACCACCTCTGTCTGTTTCTCCTTCCCAGGAAGAGCCAGTCACGTGGTGTTCTAAGGTGGGAGTGAAGGCTCTCAGCACTCTGCGGATTTCAGACTCTGTCTTCTTGTCTACCCGACTATCCTGAGTCTATCATATTGCTTTATGCTTTGAACCATGCTCAATCATCCTGGCCTTTTTTTTGTTTTTCTTCTCTCTCTCTCTTTTTTTTTTTTTTTTGAACGAGTCTCATATGTTGCATAGGCAGGTTTCAACTTTGCTATCCTGTTGCCTGGCCTCTCATACAGCTAGAATTATAAATATGCACCACCATGCCAAGATCTGAATCATATTATTTGTCAGAGTAAACAAGGATAATAAACAGCCAATGTGAATTGAAGTCTAAATTCAGACATTAGTTTTACATATTTTAGGTACATTAATCTTCTTATATCCCTGAGAAGTACATCAGTATTATGCCCTGTATAATAGGTGAGAAATTGAGGCAAAGGGCAATTTAAACTTTTCTAGGATCAAGCAGTAAGAGGAAGAACCTGTATTTGAACCAGGCACACCAACTCTAGAAATCACTCTGTTAACTCGTACACTTTGTTTTGCAAAGGTTTGTAATCATTTTGACTAAACAGAGAATTACAGTTTCAGAACATGAACAAAATGAAGACAATTTTTCTCAACGTCTCTGAAATCTTCTGGGTCTCTGCTATAAGAATACACTTAAAGATCATGACAGACACTGTTAGGTCACACAGTCCACTTTAATGGAGACCTGAGACTGGAGCCTGGGCTTGTAGAGGGGCAGAAAGACGGACAAGCAGATTGCCCTGTCGTCCTCACTTACCCTCTCCCCTCTTCTCTCCTAGCTCAGCCCAAGGTGACCGTGTATCCTACAAGGACCCAGCCCCTGCAGCACCACAGCCTCCTGGTCTGCTCTGTGAATGGTTTCTACCCAGGCAACATTGAAGTCAGATGGTTCCGGAATGGCCAGGAAGAGAAGGCTGGGGTTGTCTCCACAGGCCTGATCCGTAATGGAGATTGGACCTTCCAGATCCTGGTGATGCTGGAAACAGTTCCTCAGAGTGGAGAGGTTTACACTTGCCAAGTGGAGCACCCAAGCCTGACGGACCCTGTCAGGGTGGAATGGAGTGAGAAGCTTTCTGACCTCATAAATCCCCCACCCAGCAAGAGAGGGACTTTGCTTATCCCGAATCAGGCTCTTCTCCTGACACAATTTTTTCATCTGGTCTGTGTTCTCCTTTCCCTTGGCACAACTTCAGAGAATGAAAACCCTGCTTCATGGGGGTAGACCTGTGATGGTTTCTACAAACACTTGTACCCCTGGGGAAGCAATTGGTCCTGGTAAATAGAAGAGATCTTCTTCCTATTTTGAGCCCTCCCATGATACCACAGGCATGGTCACCCCTTGGCCATGGCTCCAGCCTCCCTCTGGGGCTGCTGCTCTGAGCTGTGCACTGTGGTCTGAGAAGAGGAGCAGTGTAGGGGCTTCGTTTAAGTGGGGAGTCTGATCTCAGCTCTCCTCTCACTAGCTCTGTCATCCTAGACACGCTCCTTGACCTCACTGGTTCCAGGATTTCTAACCCTCAGATGTTGAAGTCATGCCCTGTCAGGGCTGTGAAATTTAAATGTGGTCAGTGCCTGAACCCCGTAGCTACTCAGTTGATTTTTGAATCTCTTTTTCAAGGACGACCAATTATTCTAATTCTTCCAGGGTAGACTTCTTTCCCCATTCTCAAAGCTCTGAATCTGAGTTTTATTTAGAAAGGATGGTTTTAGGATAAAAATAACTAAAGTTGGCTTTTTTTTTTTTTTTTTTTTTTTTTAATCAGGGGCTCAGTCTGAATTTGTGCGGGGCAAGATGCTGAGTGGAATTGGAGGCTCTGTTCTTGGCCTGCTCTTCCTTGGGGTAGGGCTGTTCATCTACTTCAGGAATCAGAAAGGTAAAGACTATTTGTTAGCTGAGACTTCCCTTAGATTTTTCCGGAGGAGGAAACAATGGCTTTGGTAATGTCAGTTCTCAGTGTATCAGTGGCCCTGTATT